GTTTCCAAATATCAACATTCGAATCTTTAAGTTCGATCTTCGCACAATATTCGACCGTTCACATTACTAATATCGTCGAGCGTTATTAGTTCGCATGTCTGCGAAAGTAAATGGTTGAGATCGGACATTTCAGTTTGAATAAGATATTCAAATCATTTGATTATTTGCATCTTCGATAGTCGAACACTCGCAAAACCGCACATATTCTATCGTTCGAGTGTTCGAATTTTTGCATCCAATTATTAATTACTCAACTATTCGAATATGCAGGGTCCTCATCGAATTCGGATTCGTAGATACTTCAAATGACGATTTGAAGTATCCATCCGTTCGGAAGTTTTTATTGCGAACGAATATCGGTATAGGTTCATTCGAGAAATTTTTCGAATGAACAAATATCGAATATTCGTATAATTGTGACCTTGGTGAAATCATGCAACGGCAGCTAATGTGAGGTAGCCCTTCGCGCCACTTTACATTTTCCCTTGAAATTTCCTTAATTATACACCACCTACGACTTTTGCGCGATGTCGAAGGGTGACCTGATTTTTTGCGGGAAAACCATTACGGAAGAGTTGCGCTGACGTATTACATATACTCTTTCTTTTCTAATAAGTTGATTTCACAAATTATAATTGATAGAAAAGTTTTAAAGAAACTATAATTTGAGAGAATATGAGTTAAGAAGATAATATCATTAGAGATAAAAAGGCTAGGGTCTTATTTACTACGAATTTATATCTAATAATGAACTTAGGAATTTTGCTTTTTTCAGTGATAAAAGTCGCTGAGAGTGTTAGTCGAAATCAGCTGAGAGTGTTAGTCATTCTAACTAAATTTAATCTACTTAACATACTTTTACTTATCTACTCACTATTTACTCATACAAAGGAGGTTGAAAGTAACCAATGGCTTAGATGGTTTTCAGTTTTCATAGTCATAGGAAACCTCCCTCTGCTGTTCAAACACTAAGCTGTGAACTCTAAATAAAACAAAAATATAGCAATCAGTGAATAGTAAGCTTTATGAGATCGATGTATCCTAGAGCTGCTACGTTCTCTACTGCTTACACACGCTTTTGAACAATTTAAAATCTTCCAAAAAAATGTAATGCTGCTATAATTGCTGAATCTCAACTAAGACTTCTTTATTCGCTGTAAAGACTTTGGCTTGATGATTCGAAAAAGCAAATTATTAGGACAAACTATGAGAGAATGAACTGGGCCTTCTTGATTTGAAATAATTGCTTTTT